GAGAATTCACCAGAGCCAGAGTGGGGAGCAGAACAGGCAGAAGGACCGAAGTACACTGCTGAGGGGAGCAGCGGGCGGCAGGAGAGGTCTGCGTGCCAAGTGGGACCCTCGCCAGCAGCCAGGGATCTAATGCACTGCAGAGGCTGCGGGGAAGCTTTGCAGCCCAGCACTCAACCAGGTGGGGCCCACATAAATAAATAAATCTTTAAAAAAAAAAAAAGCGCAGCCATCCCAAGATGAAGGCAAGCTTCCTCAGAGCTTGAGGCAGGCTGCTGAGAGCTCCTAAACCAAGCCATCATTTTTTATGGAGACTTTTCAGATAAATGCAATACAATAAACATATTGACAAAAAAATCAGAAGGAACCAAACAGATCTGTTTGATGTGTAACAATCCTATCATTGTAGAAAAGAAAGAGACCCTTGGCCTCCAGCCATGTGTCAACAGGAACACTGGTCAGAAATGAACTCCCTGAACTCCCCCAAGTTGCTATCATCCTTGCTGTAACACCCCTTGATCTGCTCAAAGCCCTTCAAGGCTCCTGGACTCTTGGGGATGGGGGTGTGGGAGGAGTACAGAACTACATGTGCTCACGGAGATGACCACATAGCTCATCAGAGGCAGGTCCTTGTCTGGTGCCCCAGCTCCTGCAGACCAGGCTCTGCGCCTCCATGGCTCAGGAAGATTCTTACTTTCTCTCCAAGGCAGGTCAGCAACGCCTGCCCAAGGGGGCTGCCTGATACCCATGTGACAAAAGGCAGGTGGAAGCCAGAGAAAACTGTCCTCAAGGAACTTGCTTCTGAGAAGTTTCCATGGAGACCAGAAAGAGCAAAGTCTTCTACCCAAACCCATGGTTTGACTCCACAAATATTAATTGCATGTCCCTTCTGTGCTGGGTGCTATCTAAGTTTGTTGGGGACAAGCAAAATAACAGGTTTGATTCATGTTTATGTTTCATGAAGCTGCTAGAAGAGCATAAACAACAACCCTCAGCAATGGGAAGGCAAACAGCAGTCACTTATCTCAGACTCCAAAAGGGAACTGTGCTTTTTATAGCTTCCATGAACAATGGGCCCAAAGACAGCTAAAACTTACAAGCGTACCACTAATTCATTTACATCAGCAGATGCACTTTATAGGCTATCATTAATTCTCACTCTGGCCATTGTTTCAGCACTTATGCAATTATCTAAAACAGTATTTCACAAACTTTGACACTAACTCAAGCATAAAGAATCTAAGGGTGTGTTCAAAATAGAGACATTACAGAAACACTAGCGAGTTCTCAACCTTCTCATCCCAAGTTCCAGAATCTTGGGAACTGGGGAAGGCCACACAGAGCAGATGAGGTCTGACTTGGGACTTGGGGCTTAACTTGAGCAACCCAGGCAGCAGGCGCTTCTGGACAGAGAAGCCGGTCCCCGCCCCAGCACATTCTGTGTTGATAGTGTTCATCTTGAAAAGGGCTCAGATTTTGTTTCCACAAAACACAGCAAGGAACAGGAGTGTGGCTCCACCCTCAGGGAGTTTTACCTAACTAGCGAGGAAACCCAAGGAGTTGGGTTATTTTTTCTTGATTAGTTGGAACCTCAGTTTTCCCATTGGTCAAATGGAGGCCTTTTTCACGGGGCTTCCCAAGGGTCCACTGCTGAGTGGCCAGCTCTCTGAAGACACCTCAGGGCAGCTTTGTTCAATCACTCCTCATGCCCAGGAAGAGGGCGTTCTCCATCCGCCTTCTGACAGCTCACTGAGCATCTTGGGAACACGTGCCCCATCCAGCGTGGGAATTTTTAAAAACCCAGGCTCAGGGATGCTCTATCTCTGTGTAGTTTCAGTTTTAAAAATAGCAGGTCAATCAATGTACAAAAGAGGTGTTTTTTTTTTAAATAATAGTCAAAGTTAGTGAGTGTGTATTGAAATAACCTCTCCCACTCCCTGCTGGCAAAAAATGTAAACTGGTACAACGTCTCTTTAAAGCAATTTGATGATACAAATCAAGAGCCTCAAACTATTTGTTATCTTATTATCTAGTAATTATACATCAGGGAATCTAGCCTGAGGAATAGAGGCAAAATATATATAAAAGCTTTCTGCAGAAAGACATTCATTGTTGTTTTGATTTAAATGGCAACCAGAAAAGAAAAAACAACCACAGAAAGTGTTGAAAATGTATAGCATTTTTAATAACACAAGGAAGTGTTTGTTTTATATTACTAAAAATTGAATTATGTGAGACAGTATAGATACTCAGGGTGATTATAGTTATGTTTTGTATATAAAACATATACATGTATACACAAAACTTGTAATATGTATTTCCTATCTATATGAAAGATCTCATCAAAATGTTATTAGTGATTACCTTTGGTACTGGAATTTGGGGCCCAGTCTGAATCATAAGCTCACCCTATGACCCTGATGATAGGATTGTTGACCAAAAGAAGGGAGATGTGTTTGCTGAAAAACCAATGATGGTAATGCATTAGGAGTGATGAATCAGACTCAGCAGGCTTGAAAGGTGGAAAATATTTTGCCACGTAGAGCAGCACTTTGTGTGAAACCTGTGGTTTATCTTCAATTTCTAAATACCTCTAAAATTACTATAAATAGAAAAAAATCCATATTAGACAGAGAGAACAGGAGAGGAGATTATTGTAACAAAACATGAGATTCTGAAAAACAGAAAGAAAAAAGCATGAAAAGAAATCTCAGTGCTTTCCTGGGGAGAAGCCAAGAAGCAAGCAGATTTACACATCACAGTGCTAAAAGTCTCTGGAATGGGAGATGCCAGGTATCTCTGAAAGTGGGGTGCCAGTGGGCTAGAAAGATAGATGGATCAAAATTCTGTCTAAAAAGCAGGTCCATAAACTCCTCACTCCCCCACCCAACCAAATGCCAGTCATTCCTCCTTTACCTGGGGAGAAACTGAAATTTACTCTAGAGAATTTACCCAGAAGGGTTTTAAACCCTGAGACACCAAGCACAGCAAAGTGTGGAGTAATTAACTGAAATAAGTCAGATTAACTAAAATGACACCCCCTTCTTTCACATGGTTTCCTGAAAGTCGGTATGTTTTTAAACTCCAGGTAGGACATTAACGGCATCCTTCCTAGGAAAAAAACTACCCAAGGGGAAAAGCTATAGATAGTGATATTCTCTACTAGAGAGAGAGAGCAAAAACTAAAAGCTCTGGGGAAAGATGTGGGAATAGAATAGCACAAAAGATGTAGACTCAAAATAGCATTACAATTCCCAGTGACAACACTGGACATTAGGAAACAATGAAACAATGCCCTCAAAATGCTGAGGGAAAGTTCTTTCCAACCTATAATTTTATACCCAGCCAAACTATTCATCAAGAATGAGGGTAGACTAATGATAGTTTCAGACATGAAAGGTCACATGTCCTTTCTCTGGAAACTACTAGTGGATGAGTTCACTAAAATGAAGGGGAGAAAAAAAGAAAAGAGAAGACATGGGATCTGGGAAACAAAGAATACAGTGAAGAAAGAAGGAATGCCCATGATGACAACAGAAGGAGGCTCCAGGACGATAGCAGGGGTAAAGAGCACCCAGAACACACCAGACCAGAGAGGGGACTCCAGGAGGGATAGCTTCAAGATGAAATTGATGTGCTATACAGTGTTTAAACTTACTAAGAGGAAATTTATACTTCTGGAGTGAATTAGGGACTGATAGGTAAATAGAAAGCTTCAGCAAATCAAAATTTTTAAATAAGCATAATGTAAACATTAAGCATTTGTCTAGTGAAAATATGAGAGGGTAGGAAGAAGTAGGGAGGGACAATATTGTATAAGAAAACTAAATCCTCACCCTTCATAGTTGGAATTCTAGTGATTAAAAACTAAAGCTAGAATAACCAAAAAATATAAGTGCATTGTTTAGAAATAAGGAAGAAAATATCAAAACTAACAGCTAAGAGTTGAAAGTAGGAGGTGGGAATGGAGACGTACAACCCGCTAGGAATGGCTCTTTTTCATAATAAGTCTTACAATGTTACACATATACAACTTAGATTTTTTATTATAAATTTTAAATATGGAAGGCCCCCATAGAAAATGAGAGATGTGGGACACTGCAATTAGTCTGGTACGGTTGCTTCTTGGGGTGCAGGGCAGAATGACAGGAAGGCCCCAAGTAGTTGGAGGCTGAGCGCTGAGCACTAGAGGAAAAGGGAACATGGAGTGGTTAATGGGATAGGCACATCCTTGTCCTTGATTCTTGTTAGAAAGGTCATTAGACAGAAATAGAATGGGGGAGATGGATGACAAGGGGCCCAGTACTAGGGAGAGAGGAAGCAGACCTGATGGGGGTAAGGGGGGGGGGAAAGGGGGAGATTGCAGAGTTGGGCACAGAGGGAAGATATTTCCTAGGAGACTCTCAGCACTCAATTCACTGGCGAGGGGAATGAGGGAGAGGCAGGCATCAATAGGGCTGATAAAAAGGACTGGTTTGGGAGAAGAAAGAGCCCAGTTCTAACCATGGACACCAAGGCAGAAGGCTCCTCCTTCCATCCACTAACACAAAGATCCTTGTGTACAAATGTGAGGTGTCAAGGGGTAGAGTGAAGACCTCCAGCTTTGGAGTCCTTGGGTTAAAATGCCTAAAAACGTTAGAGCAGCATAAGAGAAAGGCATGGATGTGGTAGCCAGGCAGACCTGGGTGACCCCAACTGCTGCATCCACAGGGCTTTATGAATGCTGGGATTGTCTCCTATCTAAAAGGACCCAACCACCCCAGCCTCACAGAGGTGGTAGGAGGGTCTAAAGAAATCACCTCCATAAAATGCTTCACATGGGCTCCCTCCTCCCACTCCCCCCAATGCACGATGGCATGAGGCCTTCCCAGAAGAACCTGCAAGCTCTTCTCTGTGCTCTGTCACTTGCCTCTCTCCAGCTGTGGGCCCCAGAATGGTTCCTGGGAGACACCTTCAACTGCCACCCTCCCCCAAGTCAGGTTCAAGAATGGAGACCACAGAGGTTTGCATCAACCAGAAAATCAGCTTTATTAGCCCACCACCAGCAGAGGGGGCAGGGAGACAGCTGGGAACTGCGCCTGGAGAGCAGAGGCCTGACCCAGGCCTTCAGGAGGTGAGGCCGGGAAGTGGGCAACAGGCTCTGGGAGAGGCAGCTCAGGGCCTGGAGTTCTGGCTCTGGCTGAAGCTGGACGAGCCCTGCTCCTTGAGGATGGGCCTGGTCTGACGGATGGTGGAGGATGAGGAGGAGAAACCTGTGGGAGAGAAAAGAGGAGGTGAAAAGGGCTGTGGGAGCCAGACAACCCACACACACACACTGGGAGAGGAAACCCCCACTGGCCCCAACCCCAGCCCTCATGGAAATAAGCAGAGGACCCTCACTCAGGAGCCTTACCTTCCCGGGAAGAATAGGACTGGCCAGACATTTGCTGGGAGGAGGAGAGGCTGTGGGGAAACAGACAGAGCCATTAGATGTGCTGGGAGCAGCCAGGCCCTGAAGGGTCCATGGGGCAGGACTAGGGCCAGCACTCACTGGGCATCCTCGCCCTCCAGCAGGCGGCGGTAGGTGGCGATCTCCTGCTCCAGCCTGGTCTTCACGTCCAGCAGGATCTGGTACTCCTGGCTCTGCTGCTCCATCTCGCAGCGCAGCTGGGCCAGCTGCTCCTCCACGTTGCCAATCAGACCCTGGATCTGGGCCAGCTGCATGCAGTAGCGGCCTTTGGTCTCCTCCAGGCTGTTCTCTAGGGATGCTTTCTGTGAGGGGAAGAAAGAGTCAGAGTCAATGGTGAGGGGAAGGGGATGTCACTCCTGCCCTTCTGGGTCTCTGGACATGTTTCCTGAGAGAGACCAAGCGTTAGGCCCCTGCTGAACTACTGATGGGGCAGGCAACATGGAGAAAAGTTATTCCACTATTCTGGGCCTTCCTTTCTCCCTCTATATAAAGGGTAGAGTGATCCCTCCAGCCCTGCTCCTGGGAAGAGAGGGCAGAACTGCAATGTGGCAGTGCTGAAGAGGGGTGGTCGTTACTGGTGACTTGGGCCAGGGCTGGGCCAGGTCCTTCTTACCATGCTGATCTGGGACTGCAGCTCGATCTCCAGGCCCTGGAGCACCCTGCGGAGCTCTGTCACCTCGCTGCGGCTGCTCTGCACCAGCTGGCTGTTGGAGGCCACCTCCTTGTTCAGCTCCTCTGTCTGAGAGAGGAAAGAAGAGCAGAAAGTGAGGCTCCACTCCTGAGGTGCCCTGGCTGGGAAGTCCAGCCGGAGGCCTGAGGACCATGCCCCACCTTGCTCAGGAACCAGGCCTCGGCGTCTCTGCGGTTCTTCTCCGCCATTTGCTCGTACTGGTCGCGCATCTCGTTCAGGATGCGGCTCAGGTCCACGCCAGGGGCAGCGTCCATCTCCACGTTGACATCCCCACCAGTCTGACCCCGCAGGGCAAACATCTCCTAGAAAAGGATGGTCAGAGATGGTCAGCTCACCTCACCTGTCTCCTGACCCTAGTGTAGCTGCAACCCCACCGGACCCACCAGTCTCCCCACCAACACCAGGGGCGACCTACCTCCTCATGGTTCTTCTTCATGTAGGCCAGCTCCTCCTTCAGGCTCTCGATCTGCATCTCCAGGTCGGTCCTGGCCAGGGTCAGCTCGTCCAGCACCCGGCGCAGGCCATTGATGTCGGCCTCCACACTCTGACGCAGGGCCAGCTCGTGCTCATACCTAGCAGGACAGAGGTCAGGGTATCAGGCTCCATCCATGAGGCTGCCACAGCTGAAGACCCGCTGGTCCTCTGCATGGACAACCTCACTGTTCCCCTGCCCTTTGCCCTCCATGGTGTCTGCTCACTTAGTCCTGAAGTCATCGGCTGCCAGCCTGGCGTTGTCAATCTGCAGAATGGGCTGAGCGTTTTCAATGGTGGCCGTGATGATCTGCAGGGGATGGAAGGACAGGAGGCCTGGTGAGCCAAGAACCCTTGCTCAAGAGCAAAGAGCAGAGAGGGAAGAAAACAGTCTCCCCAAATTTGGAGACCAACTGGCTGGGAGATCAGGCTCTACTCCCCCACTAGTATGGAGTCCCCTAGCTCAGGACATACAGGGGATGCACTCCCGCCATCTCCCACCTCCCCATCCTGGGCCCGAGACTGAGAGGCTAGAGGCACAGTGCAAGGCCTGCTTGCAGGGAATGGGAGATACCTAAATGCTGAAAAGGGACCTATGCCATCGATTGTCTGGGTGCCCTTTGCCACTTCCCCAAGGTAGGCCTCAGTCTCCCCGTTTACGGACCACCACAGCCACGGCCTTCCTCCACTCCACCTGCAGAGCTGCCCTGCCAGCTCTCACCTTGTTCCTCAGGTCCTCGATGGTCCTGAAGTAGGGGCTGTAGTCCTTGGTCTCATTGGGCTGCTGCCTCTGGTACCAGTCCCGGATCTTCACCTCCAGGTCGGCATTGGCCTCTTCCAGGGCGTGCACCTTGTCCAGGTAGGAGGCCAGGCGGTCGTTGAGGTTCTGCATGGTGATCTTCTCGTTGCCAGAGAGGACCCCATCGCCACCACCGAAGCTACCACCGAAGCCACCACCAAAGCCACCACCGAAGCCACCGCCATATCCTGCACCGAAGCCACCGCCGAAGCCACTACCCAGGGCCCCACCAAAGCTGCTGCTGCTGCTGAAGCCACCACCGTAGCCGCCCCCCATCCCGCAGACTCCCCCAGAGGAGTAGCGGGTGGAGGAGACAGACAGGCCTCCGCAGGCGCTGGGGGCCCGGCAGGACCCTCCGGTCAGGACAGAGGACATGCGGCTGGAGCCACCGCCGATGCCGCAGGAGCCCTTCACGGAGCTGGAGGTGAACTGGCGGCTGCAGGAGGTCATGGTGCTGAGGAGGGTGTGAGCGAGCAGCGAGCGAGTTGGCAGAGAGAGGAGAAAGGTGCTCTGCGAGGCTGGGAAGATGCTGGTGCTGCCTCAAACCCCAGGAACATTTATACTCACCTGGGGAAGGCGGGGCGCTCCCAACTGCTGACTCGGGTTCCCCGGGATTTCGTCACTCCGGTCCCGTCCAACTCCCTGCTCCGGATTATTCAGGCTGGGGTCCACTCACTTGGCCGTGCGCTGGCTGGGAGTTCCACCCAGCTCTGGGGGTGTGGGGCCGAGAGAAAACACAAATGGAGTGGATCGTGACTCAGGATGGGCGGCAGGAGTTGTCTCTATTCCTGGAGCCCCAGGGGCCAGCGGGGACTTGACACGGCGGCTTTGTGGCGGCTGCGTCCCCAGGCGGTGAGTCAGCAGTGGAAGGTCTCCCTGCCCCACGGTGACAGCCTTGCCCGAAAGAGCCTCAGTGACGGGGACCGGGGCTGTCTGGGACATGGGGACCTTCTATGCCGGCTCCAGGCGCAGAGCTGGGCCCACACCTCCCTCTGCTTTGTTTGCTGTGTGACCTGTTTGTTGCTGTCTCCCCGCAACTCTCTGGGTCCGTCTCCCCTCCAGTGAAGTGACGTGGCTTCACTGGATGGTCTCCGAGTCCTTTCTAGTCCAAAAAATCCTGGCTCTTTCCTCTATCGGGTCCAAATCCAACTTCAGAGGCTGCCTTCAAGGCCCCGGGGCCTCCAGAGGGGACATGTGCATGGACATGAACCAGCCAGCCCTGTGGAGTCAGACAAGTGATGACTTGAACCCCTACTTTGCCCCGAGCCCCCTGGGCCTCAGTTTTCTCATCTGTGAAAGGGGTGGACATGCCACCAGCCACAGGAAACATGCACGGAGCGCCCTGCTGACCCTCCCTGATGGCCAGCTCGCCCTCAGCCTCCCCTTCCAGCCTGGCTGCCCCTCACCTGTCTCCACGCACCCGCCTCTATGCTCTAACACCTCCGTCCCATACTCCTGCCCTCTCCTTTACACCCCTGCATCACTACCTTGGAGCAGCCCACCCCCAGTGCATGTCTCCAACATCAGGCACCCACTGTGAGCTGTGGGGAGGGAGCCCCCTTCCTGCCACGAGCGCCATGCAGGACCTCTGACCCCTCCAAGGGTTTTCAAGTTCCCACATAGAAAACAGTCATTAATGGGGTTCAGTTCCCAGCAGCATCCTTCTGCACACAGATTCCAGGCTGGGCAGGCCAGCTCCATCCATTCGCCAGAGGAGAGGCGGGTGATCCTCTGGTCACCTGCTCACTCAGGTGCTGCGTGAAGTGCTTACATGTGTAACATGGTCTCTGTGCGGCATTATTCCTGCCACCCACTCACAGACAAGGGAGCCAGATGGGTGAGGGGGCTCCCCAGGACCCCAGTCAAGGTTTGAACCCTGTGCCTCAGCTCACGCAGCGCAAGTCCTTTCCACCAACCTGGTATGTCTCAATCGTACATCGTGGTGAGGTTTTTTTAAGATTTATTTTATTTATTTATGCATACAAGAGCTGGGGTATAAGCCAAAGGTGTGGGGGTGAGAGGATCACCAAAGGCAGAGTGGGGAGCAGAATAGGCGGAATTGACTGAAATTCACTGCTGAGGGGAGAAGCAGGCGAGACAGGAGAGGTCTGCTGCTCCATGTGGGTCAGCTCCCTGGCTGGGGATCAAACCCGTGCCACGGTGGCTGGCTATAACTTGAGTGATAGCTTCATAGTGCTGAGACTTTAACCCCTACACCGCTAGGGAGGCCCACATCATGGTCTTGAACTAACCCTGGGGAGTAGGGATTCAGAAGGAAACCCAGAGAAAAGGGGGTGATCAGCCCAGTCACTTTGCTTTAAACTGAGCAATCAGGATTAAAACCCAGAGCTCAACCCTGCTATTCCATGAGGCCTTGCAGGCAGGGATGGACCATCCCCTGCCCCATGGTGTCTGGGACAAGCTCTGCCAGTGGTGGGCATGAGCTTGGCACTGGGGCCTAGAGAGAGGATGGGGGCTGGTGGGACCAAAGACTGAGGCCTCCTTGAGGTGTTCTGGGGGGACCCACAGAGCTGGCCACAGCCTTGCTCTGAAGTATAGGTGACAGGAGTCGAGAGAGGACTTGCTTCAGCCTGAACACTGCTGGCTGATACCCCTGGAACCCCATCTCCAGGGCCAGGCCCGGAGGAGAGAAGCTAATGTTCCCCTCCCTGACCCAAAATGTACAGAGGGTCCCCTGGAATCTTGGACAGAAACCCCACAGTCTCAGGTATGGGGCCTGGGGGTCAGGTCCATTCATAGACTCAGAACTGGAAATAACCGTCAGGGACACCAAGCCCAAGCAGAGAGAGGGACAGTCTCGTCCCAAGTTAAAAGCACAGAAGCAGAAGAGCAGGGGCTCCAAGCCGGCTCCAAGCCCATAACCAAGCTTCACCCCCACTCTCCCAGTACCCCCCAGGAGGGTTTTCGAGTTCCCCCAGGGGAACCAGACTCCCCTGTAGAGTCAGCTCTCTGCCCCAGCCCACCCGCCCCGCCCTGCTGGAGGAGTCGGGGTGGGATTAGACAAGGGCTGGGCCCTGACAGTCTGGGCACCTGCGTGGGCTGAGAAGCTGAGGGAAGCTGCCGACCAAGCCCGAACCACTCAGTCCACACCACAGACCAGCCCCACCGCCGGGCACGGGCCGGGGGTGGGGGTGATGACTTGACTCTGACCCTGGAACTTATCATCTGACCAAGGAGGGGCATGTTAAGGCTGGGGAACACAGCGTCTCATGGCAGGAAACCTGGGGAGCAGGGGCCCCACAGGACACAGCTGGTGGGCGTTATCCCACCCGAAGCCTCAACAGTAAAGGGGGGCTGCCCTCCCAGCCCTAAGCCCCCAGAAGCTCCCCCAGAAGGTGCCTGGAGTGATGAGGAGGAGCTCCAGCAGGGCCCACAAAGGCCTGACTTGGCAAAGAAGGAACAGGGGGGCTTTTCCCTAGGGTTGCCCTAATCCCAGGGCCCAGGACAAGGACTCCCACCCACCTGGCACCCCTGCAGGCAATGGGTTCCTCCCCCACCCCACCCCATCTCGGGTATGAGGTCACCTCATACCTGAGCTGGACGGGAACCACTATTGGCCAATGCACGCCCCGACTTGTGTGATGAACCCCAGCCCGGAGAGCACCAGACTCCCCGTGGGAAGCTCTCGACCCTTGGCAATCAGCACTCCCCGGAGAGCCTGCTGTGCGCAGCTTACAGGCTCCCAGGGGATTCTGCTGACCAAGAGGCCTTGCAGGGGCAAAAGGGAGGGAAAGGAAGCCCCAAAGAAACAGAAGGAGAGGGGCCCCCAGCACCTGGTGGCAGCCAGAGTCACGGCTTCAGGGCAGGATGAAGAAAGAGAAGATTCCCCACGAGTCAGGACAGAGCAGCCTGGAGCTGGCCTGGGGCAGGAGGGGGGACTGGAGGGAGGAGCAGAAAGGGTAGGAGGGCTGGGAGGGCCAGAGGGGGCTGCGGGGGGAGTGGTCAGGGGAGAGTCAGACCTTGGGGAAAGGCTTCCACCTCCCTGAGGCTCAGTTTCCTCTTCTGGGAAATGGTGCTGTAGCTCGACAGACACGTTAGAGGATCAGAAGTGAGAGGAATAACTCAGGCGCAGACTGTCACTGCATTTATTCAACGCTCATTTGTCAAGTACCTACTATGTGCCATGCACTGCTGGGCACTCAGGGCATACAGTCTGGTGGGGGGGGGGATAGAGTAACACCAATTCTGTGGGATCGTGTGGTGAGAGGAGGGGGAGGGCGGGGGAGTCTGCAAGGACGGTCCAGGCTCCTGGGGAGGGAACACCCGTCTCGGGCGCGGGCGCTGGCTTGGTGACAGTCCCGGGGCCAGGACAGGCCTGGAGTTCACTGACTGCGAGCACCAGCCCGCCATATCTGGTCCTCTCCCCTGCTTCCATGCCTGACCCCCTTCTGAGGGTAGGGGCTGCTCCATCATGGAGGGACCCTCAGCCCGGTCAAGCTCGGTCTGTGCCTGGAGGCAAGACCTCCCTGCTGCTGCCCACTGTTCTCTTCAAGCCCACAGCGTGGGGAGGCACAAGAAACACCCTGCGAAGGGCTAATGGAAGATTGTCAGCACCCCACTCTGCCCTCCTTACCACCCCTAGACCGGGGTCCTTTAGGCCCCAGAGATCTGAGCCTCCAGCGCAGAGCCCGTGTCCCTTCGCCCCCACCCCCAACCCCAGCCCCACACAGGTAGGCGCCGAGCGCCGCAGCACCTTGGGCAGCCTTCCTGTGGGAAGCGTGGCCAGGTCACCCTGCCGGTGGGTGGGGGTGGAAGCTGAGAGTCCCAGGGGCTGGCCCAGGCCAGGAACCGGGGTGTGCGTATCGCATGACAGTGGATGAAGCTCCGAGGGCAACTGCAGGCCAACACGGTGCAGATGCTGCGAGCCCCTCTGGAGAGTCCCACAGCTGGACCCCCACACCTGCCACAGGCACGTGTTCCCAGCAGCCTGGGTCAACTCCCCCAAAATTCTGCATACCATTCACAAAGGGGACCATAGGCCCCAGTCCCTAGTAGCCCCTCCAGCCCAGGCCTGGGACTCAGGAAAGGGTGGGTCCAGGGCCATCCAGGGGACCCTGCCCCCCGTGTGATAACCGCTTCCTCTATTGGCTCAGCTCTGCTGCCCCTGTCATGGCTTCCCAAGCACCCACTCTGCGGGCAGGGGCCTCAGCCCCAGCAGAGGGGCACCGTCCAGGGATGTCTCTGCACAGCCTCACGCGCTGGCCCCTCCTCATTCACCCCATTAGCAGGAGTGGACCTCTCTGGGAGAGATTCCCCTGAATCCCCTGCCTGAGAGCTGGGGTGGTGCTGGAGGTGGGGCTCACCAGCTCCTCTTCCCAGAGATGGGCTGCCCCACCCCTGGCATGCCGGGATCCAGACAAGGACTGAGTCACAGCTCCTCGGAGCCTCAATGTCCCCTTCTACACAATGGGGCACCCGTGCTGCTTCCGGGACTTCCAGATAAATGACGTCACCCTCTGGATGAGCAGGCCTAGGCCAGGGCCGGTTCTTCTAGTTGTGGCTGAATGGTGGGGGGGCGGGGGGGAAGGTGGGGGACAGAAGGGAAAGAAAGGAGAGGGAGCCCAGGGTGGGGGAGCATTACCTCCTTCCCGCCCTCCATCCAGCCCTAACGGTGCCCAGGAGGCAGAGCCACACTCCCTGCCCAGACACTGCAGGCCCAGACGCCAGGAGCGTTGGGATGACGTCTGTACCTGAAGCATCTGGGAGGGGAGTGGGGGCTCCTGGCAGAAAGGAGCCCACTGTCCCATGTCAGGGCCCGAAGGGCCGTTACCTGGGTTTCATCACACCCTTTGTTTACTGCGGTTTCCAAGGTAGAGAAAGGGCCGGTGACCGCCCAAAGTCCTCCCCCCACACACACTTCATAGAAAGGCTCAGCCCCCAGGCCTTGGGGCTTGGGGAGGTAGGAGCAGGGGGCTCAGCCACACCTGCCCCCTGCCTGCCCGGGCCCCGCCCTCAGCTCCGGATGTTTGGAGGGCCCTCGTCTGATCTGACTCTGCAGCGGCAGCCAGTCCCAGGCTGGCCAGTGAATTGGGGCAGAGGCACTCCTCCCCTCTGTGCCCCCTCCGCTCACCCCCACTTCTTCGAGAAAACTAGACAATAAGACCCGCCCCACCCAGCGCCAGATTTACTCAAGGGGAGTCCTGGGAGTGGCTAGGGCAGGACCACCCTTCCCCTTCCCGGGCCAGTTTCCCACCAGCCCCCGCTGCCAGGCTATGGCCACTGGGGTCAGGGGGAGGCAAAGTGCCAGAGAAGGTAGCACAACCCCCCCCAGATCTACAGTGGCTCTCCAGCCCCATCCTTGCAGCAGCTGACCACTTGAGGAAACACCCCCATGAGAGGGCCCCCCTTGCTCCCACACTTCCAGGGGACCCGCAGCTTCCCTAGCACGAGTTTCCAGTTCACATTCCTGGGGTGGAGGCGATGGGAGTATCCCGAGAGACCCACTGACCTTTTAGGGTTCCCTGAGACTCACACAGGAAGCTGAGACCAAACATGCAGCCGGCCCCCACCTTCCCTCTGCCCTGCGCCTCCCCCAGGACGCCCTGGCACTCCTCTCGGTCCTGACCCCCTCCCGCCCGCTTCGGAGGTGGACACTACCCCCAGGACCTGGGGGGGGGGACTTGCTGGCTATGTCTGCCTCCGGCTCTCACTTCATCCTTTTATGGGTGAGAAAATGAGGCTCGGCAGCAGCCCGAGGTCACAGACCTACTTAAAGGGCAAGAGGCACCTGAGGCCCCCAATATGCTGACCACACCTTGGATCTGGTGCTGCCCGGACACCCTCCCTCAGCTCTCAGGCCCTTGGCAAGTTCAAAACGCCCAAGTTCTGCCCAGTTCTACACTCTGTTCCCCTCTAAGATGTCCCCTCACTCCAAATCAACAACAAGGGGTGAAGGGGTGTTCGTGGATCCCCCCCACTCCAATCTCCCCTCTCCACTCCATCGCCCACTCCTCACGGGCCCACTTCACAGGCCACAACCAGGACACATTTCACGTCTGAGTGGACAAGCTTTATTGGTCAGGCAGGACCGACGCAGAGGGGAGGCCGAGCCGGGGAGGCCGGAGGCTGCAGGGGCCGCGGGGGCCGCGGGGGCCGCGGGGAGGCTGCCTCCTGGCCCTGGAGGGGGGGAGTCAGTCAGGGAGCAGCGTCCTTAGCGGGTGGTCTGGTGGACCTGCTCGCGGGAGGAGATGACCTTGCCGTCCTGCACCTCCTCCACGATGGTGCGCACCTGGCGGGTGGTCACGGCTGCAGGAAACCACATCCAGGTGAGCAGGGCTGAGAGACCCTCGCTCGGCCCCCAGCGCCCAAGCAGAGCCAGCTTCTCCCCCGCTGCCACTGGTGTCTCCCCCAGTGCCTGGGCTGGTCCCCCAACAGCACGTCACGTGTGCCCTCCTGCCCTGGCCGCTGCCCTCGCCCTTTCTTCCCTTCCCTCTGTCCCCGTGGATGTTTGGTTCTGCCGCTGGTCCTCCCGCCCTAGAGAGGTGCCCGGCAGGTGGGGAACAGGTCTATCTTGCTTCTCCACCATCTCCAGGGCCTGGACTATGCTCTGTCCTCCCCCATCACCCTGTGACCTCCAAGCCAAGAACTAGGTCCCCCCGTCACCTGGACCCTAGGTCTAGGACCTTATCTGCCCCATCAGACTGGTGTCTGGGGACAAGGACCAATTCCCTTTCTCCCACAGACTAGACCCCAGAGACAGGACGGCTCCTGCTCATCTGCAGGGTCTCGAGAGTAAAGACCACGAGGCCTCTAACTCCTCTAACTCCCCATGAGCTAGGACCAGGTCTCCCCATCAGACTAGGCTCTCCAGAGTAAGGGTCATTGCCCTGCTCACCCACTGTCTGAACAGAAAGTGTCACCCTCCTGAATCCCCTGAGAAAAAACCCTGAACCCTAAATGGGTCCTTTCCCCCACCCCTGCGGACAATCAGCTGCCATTCCCCGGAGGTCCTGGGGACACCACCCCCCCCCCAGCCAGGTGCAGATGGTCCCCAACCCCGTGCAGCCCCAAACCTCAGGTAACAAGATCCTTACGTTCTTTGGGTTTGTAAGACAGGCTGCAAAAAAAAAAAAAATAACACACACACAGAGGAGATTAGACGTGGGTTTGAGAAGCCCACCCTTGCCCCACCTTGCCCCAGGGGCTCCCCCACTCACTGGGCGTCCTCGCCCTCCAGCAGGCGGCGGTAGGTGGCGATCTCCTGCTCCAGCCTGGTCTTCACGTCCAGCAGGATCTTGTACTCCTGGCTCTGCTGCTCCATCTCGCAGCGCAGCTGGGCCAGCTGCTCCTCCACGCTGCCGATCATGCCCTGGATCTGGGACAGCTGCATGCAGTAGCGGTTCTCCGTCTCTGCCAGGCTGCCCTCCAGGGATGCTTTCTGCAGGAGGGAGGGAGAACCAGGGATGAGCATGGCTGGTGCATGCCCCATCAGGGGCCCTGCACATACCGCCACCCTGCAGGGGCCCACCATGCTGAGCTGGGACTGCAGCTCGATCTCTAGGGCCTGCACGGAGCGCCGGAGCTCGGAGATCTCACTCTTGCCGCTCTGCACCAGCTCGCTGTTCGTGGCCACCTCGCGGTTCAGCTCCTCTGTCTGCAGACAAAACACAGAAGGCAACGTGAACTTGGGGTCTCACGTCAGAGGTCCCCACAGCCTCCCAGGCACCTGGGGCTCTCCCTGCTCTGCATCACACCCCAGGCACAGCTCCCTTCCTCACCACTCCTGAGCCTCTCAGACACCCTCCCCAACAAGGTCACCCTGTGTTCTCCCCCACATTCCACTGCCTGAAGCCAGGAGTCTTCGGAATGCTAAATTTTGTCTTTATTCGCTACCAGTGGGAGGCAAGCCTGAGAGCCAGCCAGGCCTGGTAGCCTGATTCCTTGGCATCAAGGTGGCCTCCCCGGCTCTGTGCCCTCTACCTTTACTCCCAGTGGGCTTCCCCCCCAACCCCGGCCCCAGCGCTAGCCAAGCGCCAGCTACACATGCTGGTGACCCTGTTCTTTGGGGTCCACGAGGCTCGCTGAGAATAGAGTTCCCCAGGACCCCCAGCGCTGAGCTCATTGCCAAGGGTCAAACCTTGCACCCCACCTGCAGGAGAGGCCTCTGGCCCCCAGCAGCCCCACCTTGCTGAAGAACCAGTCCTCAGCATCCTTGCGGTTCTTCTCCGCCATCTTCTCGTACTGGTCGCGCATCTCGTTCAGGATGCGGCTCAGGTCCACGCCGGGGGCGGCGTCCATCTCCACGTTGATCTCACCACCCACCTGGCCTCGCAGGACATTCATCTCCTGTGGAGAACGGGGTTTGTGGGGGGCTCCAGGCCGCGCCATCGCTCACTCCCAGCCTCCAGCCCCTGCTAGGAGCCCTCTTTGTTCTGCCTCTCCTGTGCCCGCTGACCTTCCTAAGGACTTTGTCACCTGCTCGGTGTGGGCTCTGCCTCCACCACAGATTGGGAGTAGCATGAGACTGTGGACTCTCCAAAACATCCCCTCTGGTTTCCAAACTTCTACTTAGGGTCCAGATTTAAGGGTTTGAACTGGGACAGCAGGGAGACCTGCTTCATCCCCTGCCTCCTGAGAGCAGCCAGGATGGGCAGGAGGGGGCCTGCAGGCCCCGGAGGTCTCCGGATTCAGTGAATCGAGCAGGTGGAACGTGGAGGGGGCTGCCCTGCACACCAGTTCCAGACCTCGGGACTCGGGGCTTTGCAGACAGAACAGCCCCGTGAGGTGCCCAGCCTCGGTGCACCTGCCTGCCCTCTTCCCACAGTCTCTGCCTTGGCACAGCCCAGAGCCCTGCCACCCACTGCACAGCCTCTCTGACCTGCTGCTCCAGCCCTCACCTCCTCATGGTTCTTCCGGAGGTAGGCCAGCTCCTCCTTGAGGTTCTCAATCTGCATCTCCAGGTCAGCTCTGGCCAGGGTCAGCTCGTCCAGCACCCTGCGCAGGCCATTGATGTCTGCCTCCACGCTCATGCGCAGGGCCTGCTCTGTCTCGAACCTGCAAAGGAATGCAGGGAATTAGGTCTAGACGCGTAGACTGGCAGGTCCAGGCTGGGCCCAGCACCTGCCTTCCCCAGGACTCAAAGGCCTTGTAAGGAATGACAAGGGAGTGGAGTGGAAGCAAACTCCAGCCGTGGGAGCCGGAGACCACGCCGGGTCAGGCCTCACAGCCCCCTGCTCCCTAACTCTGTCCTCCTGCCTCCTACCCCCACCAACTCTTCTTCCATCACCTGCCTGAGCCCAGGGACCTTCAGAATGGGCCGCATCCTGGACTTAGAGGCGGGCTCTCAACAGCACCTAGGGCTTTCCTACCCCTAGTCCTGGATCAAGGAGTCCTGGGGAAGGGTGCCCCCAGTTCCTCCCCCAGCCTGCTCTGGCTCCAAGCCCACTGGCTGAGGCTCACTTGGTGCGGAAGTCATCGGCAGCTAGGCGGGCGTTGTCAATCTGCAGCAGGATGCTGGCATTGTCCACGGTGGCTGTGAGGATCTGGGGAGAAGGGGCAGCCTCGGGTCATTACATTGGGGGAGATCTGCCGGGGTCCTGGAGGGGGTCTCCCCGCTGCAGGCCAGGATGTGGCTGCTTCCCCAGGAGCCCTCCCTTCCTGCCTTTTGCTGAGTGTGGTGGTTGGTAGAGGCAGTACCAGCAGGACTCAGATGCCCTGAAACTTGCTCGCCTCCCCCTAGCACCCTACACACACACACACACACACACACACGCACATCTGCCTCCATGAGGGAAGATGGCAGGTTGGGAGTGCCCAGAGAGGACGGACGATGGTCCCTGGCAGGAGCTGCCCCAGAATCCCAGAAAGAGGAGGGGATGTGAGGAAGCCTCCTCTTTCACACTGGGGGACACAATGCCCCTGAGAGTTTCCCCAAAAGGAGGTTAAAGGAGCCCTCATTAAAGAGTAGCTTCAAATCACGAGTTAGGACCCTGGTGACCCCTGACCCGGGGCTCCAACAGGCAGTCTGGCTCCCCGAGGTTTGCTGAGGAGGGCAGCAGGTGGGATGGGGAAGCCAGAAACATGCCCAAAGAAGGCACACAAGACACTTCCTAAGGTCCCGCCCCCCTCTCCTGCCTCCTCCTCCCCTCAGGTGCCACTGGGAGCTCACTGAGACCCCCATCCTGCCATCACTCCAAACCCTCTCTTGCTCCAAGGAGAGAGGGGACCTCATATCCAGCCCCTCATGGGCCCGCCCTCCTCGGGCATCCACTCAGACTGTCCCCCAGACCCATAAGGGGGGCAGGAAGCTCATGAGAATGGAACCGAAGCTCGAGGGAGCCCACGATGCCCACGTGCCCCTGGGCCAGACTGCTGACCCAAGCGGGAATGAAGCATACAGGGGCCCCAGGGCAGGCTCCAGAAACCAAGCCAGAGCCAAACTGCCCTGGATGACCTGAGACAGCCCCCAGGCTAGACCCGAGGCCTCGGCCAAGGGCCGGAGCCCAGGGGAGCGGAATGAGGATGGGGAGATGCAGTGCCCCCGAGTTCCCACCCACCCGCAGGCCCTACCTTGCTCTTCAGGTCCTCGATGGTGTGGTAGAAGTGGCTGTAGTCCCGGGCGGGCCCCGGGGCCTGCTTCTGGTACCAGTCGCGGATCTTCACCTCCAGCTCCGTGTTGGCCTCCTCCAGGGCGCGCACCTTGTCCAGGTAGGAGGCCAGGCGGTCGTTGAGGTTCTGCATGGTGGCCTTCTCGCCTCCAGCCAGCAGCCCATCCACAGACCCAAAGCTGCCCCCAAAGCTGCCGCCATAGCTGCCCCCCGAGCCGAAGCTGTAGCAGCTGGAGTAGCTGCTGCCCCCACCGAGGGCACTGCCCAGGCCTCCCACTGACCCCAGCCTGCAGGAGCCAGCACCCAGGCTGCCGGACAACCGGCAAGAGGTGCGGGACGAGCCACCCCCAAGGCCGGAGGAGCCCTTGATGGAGCTGGAGGAGGTGAACTGGCGGATGGTGGTGGTCATGGCGGCGGGCAGGCACAAAGCAAGAGGGTTCAAGGAGAGAGAAGCCCAAGGAGCATGTTGCCGCCGGGACCCGCCTGCCTTCTTTATAGGCCGGCAAGTGGGCGTAGCGATTACAACAGGCTCGCTCCTGGTTTTCCATTCCCCTGGGCTTTCATCACCGCTGGCCGCCTGCCAGCTCCCAGGTGGCTGCGGGCCCCCTCCCCTCCCACCAGTGGGGCTTTGCCTCATTTCTCTGAACCCCCGTGCTGGGCGTCGGCATGAACATGCGCGTATCTCTGGTCTCGGGCTGTCACCTGTGATTCAGGCAGGCCCTCCAGCTATGCTTTCCCATGACCTAATAGGGGAAGAGGAAAAGCCAGGACGTCACCGTCCCCAGGCCCTCCCAGGCAGCTGCCACCCCAGCCTGCCCACCTGGACCCTGTGTCTGGTGTGGAAACAGGCTGGAGAGCCAGGCAGCCCCAGCCTGAGGTTGCTTCCTCGCTGCATACGGCTCTGGCCCCGAGCTGCGTGCTGGGGAGACCAGCAGAACCAAGACGCTGTCTTGCCTTGGAAACCAGACCTGAGCTCCGGGCCCACCACACCACACAGGAGGGCTGCCAGGTCTCAGACCGATACCCTCACAGATAAGGACAATGGGGCGTAGAGAGGAGCAGTGTCTAATCCGTCTAACTCCAGAGCCGAGCCGGCAGGGCTGCCTCCTTCACCCCCCCATGCCACAGCACCCGTAGTCCTCGGGGTGCTGGGTGCCCTGGCCCCCTCTGCAGAGCCCCATCACCCAGGAGACCCTCCAGAGGCTGATCCCATCTGGTCAGTTGACTGCCCTGCCCCATCCCTGGGACCCACTGGTGAGCCAGCCTCCTCTTGAGCCTTCCCCACCTCCCTCCTACAAGTCCTGGGCTAGGGCAGGCAGAAAAGGAGCTTCACTTGAGGATAGGAAATGGCAGGCTGGGAGGGGAGGTCCACGGGGAACCGAAAGAGATGCGAGGGGCATGCCCCTTCCACTTCCTTCAACCGCTCCCCCTCTTCCCGCCACGGTGTCCCAAGGTGGGGACCTTTACTGCAGGTCCTGCTGGGAACCCTAAAGGACACTGGGCCAGGTCTTCCTGAGACACCCCCCCAAGTCAGTCCCCTGCTTCCAGCCTCCTCTGGAGTCTCCACCAGACCAGGCCCCTGGGGGGGCTGGAGCCCGCCCACAGCCCCGCCCAGCCAGCCTGGGTCGGGGTCTCAGCAGGCCCGCTGGGCGCTGGGCGGAATGCGGTCGTGTCTCAGACTGCCGGTGGCTTCCCCTTTCCAGGCAGGCCCAGACAGCCCCTGCCAGCAGCTGAGAGAGATTCCCCAATAGCCCAGCTGCTGCCAAGCCACCAAAGCAAACAGGACGCCCCCCACGCTCACAGGCACCGCCGCCACCCCGCCCCGCACACACCCCCGGCCGGGCAGAGCCGGTCTGGTTTCCTGCGCTGACTGTGCCTGTGCGGCTGCCACCTCCTCTCCCCATCAGCGCTCTGGACCGCTCCTTCGGAAAGCCCCCCGCCCAGCCCTTCTCCCTCTGATCCTGAACCTGGGCCCGCCCTGGCTGAGGCAGGGCAATGTCTGTAACAGGTGTGGCTCCCGGGAAAACCTGTGGAGCCCTCCCAGGGACCAGCCCTGGCAATGGAGACCCAGGAGCTGATTCTTAGGAGCTTTCCCAGCCAGACGTATGTCCCAACTCCCCACGCTCACTCCTTGCCTCCCTCCAGGGTCCTCCCGAGGGCCCAGACAGGTGGGGCCCAGGTTGGCAGGTGACAAACACCACCTGACCATTCAGCAAACTCTCCCCTCCCCCCGCCCCTCCCTCCACACTGCCCTGAGTCGACAACCAAGCAGATCACACCAGGCATGAAACTTCAGGCAAAGCTTTAATAGCAGTCACTGAGGCAAACCCAGGAGGCCCGTTGTGAGGGCTACAGGGAACAGAAAGGCCACAGCTCCTGGCCGGGGGTGCAGTCAGGCACTTGGGGTGTGGCGGTGGCATGCTGGGGGCTGGAAGCTAGGAGCTGGAAGCGAGGGCGGCCCTTGGCCCTCGAGGCTGGGCAGTTGCAGGCAGGAAGGGCTTCAGTGGGTGGAGCGGTGGACCTGCTCGCGGGAGGAGACCACCTTGCCATCCTGCATCTCCTCCACGATGGTGCGCACCTGGCGGCTGGTCACCGCTGCGGGCAGTGGAGGAAACACAAGCAAACTCAGGCCAAGGCCCTCCCCCAGTCTCCCACTGGGAAGGTCCTCGGCCTCCCCCCACTTCCCGCCAGATAGGATCGGGCAGGCTCTTACCTTCTCGGGTGGGCTGTGAGGCCAAGGACGAGGAGTACTGGGTGGCCAGGCTGCAGGGAAAAAGGACCGGTCAGCCCAGAGATGCAGGTGGAACCCAGCCCCCTGGGGCTCCCTACTGGGAAGAGGCATGGCTGGGGAGGTTTGGGAAGAGGTCCCTCCCAAACCAGAGAGAAATCACAGCGAAGAATGTCCACCACAAGAATCAAAGGGCCCAGTGAGACAGGAAGAAGAAACAAGGAAAGAGGACATCCCAATCCTAGGCCAGAGGCACTTGTGGCTAACCAGGGATTTACAAGAAGCTGAGCAAGCAGATTTTCCATATCCTAAAGGGCCCAACAAACCAACTCAGTTAAAGCAGGAGAGGCTGTGGCTGGACTACAGATGGACTTCCCCATCATCAGAGCAAAATGCTGGATTACATAACTAACCACGGCGACTCCAGGACACTGTCAGCACCTTTATGGCCGGGCCCCATCAGCCCTCCCAATTCTAAACCAGAGCACTGCCAACCCGGGTAACGAGGTCTCCAACCAGTCCCCGGAGCCAGAAACCCAGGCATTACCCACTCCATGCGCTCACTCAACATCCACCGAGCCCCCGGAGAGCCATGCTCGCCCCACACTCCAGCCCTGCTGCATTCAGCTGTAACACACCTGCTTGCACACCCCCGTCCCTCGCTGCCCTCCCCCACCACACAGCGGGACTTCTCTGGCCCCTGCTCCCACTGCCCGCTCCACCCTCCTCCAGGGCCTCCCTGGCTCCACCGAGACCCCTCTGATCTGCTCTTCTCCCTGCAGCCAGAGTGGAGGTTCTAAGAACTCCTGAGGATCACACCCCTCCCGGGTAGACACCGGGAGCATCTAGTCCAGATGCTTTAATTCGACCTTCTGTGCTCAAGTCACACCCCAGCCAGTGCTCTCAGTTTCACCCCTGCAACTCTCCGCGGCCTCCGGCCTTTGCTGATGCCTCTGCCACAGGCCCCTGCTGCAAGGAGTAGCTCTGGGCCCACCCCAGCAGGGGCCACTCACTGGGAGTCCTCGCCCTCCAGCAGGCGGCGGTACGTGGCGATCTCCTGCTCCAGCCTGGACTTCACGTCCAGCAGCACCTGGTACTCGTGGTTCTGGCGCTCCATGTCACAGCGCACCTCACACAGCTGCTGCTCGATGTTGCTGATGAGCCCCTGCAGCTGGGCCAGCTGGGCCCCATAGCGCGCCTCCGTCTCGGCCAGGCTGCCCTCCAGCGATGCTTTCTGTGGACCAATGTGAAGGCAGCTGGGTAAGACCAAGCTTGGACCCTTCCCCGTAGCGCAGCATGCAGAGAAGGGCTCCAGCTTGTGTGGAGCTGTGGGCTGCTGGTATGTGGGGCCAGGACCAAGGCAGACAGGATGAGTGGGGTCTGTGCAGTGGGGCCCACCCTGGGGTGATGGGTGCAGGACAGGAGAGGACGGAGGCCCTACCATGCTGAGCTGGGCCTGCAGCTCAATCTCCAGGTTCTGCACAGTGCGGCGGAGCTCGGTGATCTCTGTCCTGCTGCTCTGCAGGGCCTCCGTGTTGGTGGCCACCTCCCGGTTCAGCTCCTCTGTCTGCAGGGGGAGGCAGGGTGGGCCCAGGGGGTGAGAGAGGCTGAAGAGGTGGGGCAGAGGACAGCTGCCGCGCTGAGCCCTGACCACCCAGACCTGCTCCCCCAGCCCCTCCCTGGCCTTCTCCATGGAACCCCAAACACACCTGCCCACGGAGACCCCCTATGACCGCGCCAGAACTTAGCACATTCACCCTGCACTGGGGTCATCAGCATCCGTTACTCCCACTGAACTACAGGCCTGGCTGGAAACGGTCACAGGCCTTACTCTTCTCATCCAGGGCCCTGCAGGCGCCCAGGGTGTCTACCAGGGCACGCTTTAAGCATGACTTAAATACACACACCCGCACATGGTGCAGGCCGCGCCAGGGTGAGGCCCAGGTGTGCGCCCCAGGACACAGCGAAGGGTGTGCTGAGGCCTTTCTGAGCCTCGCAGTTTGCATCTCACTCGCAGGCTTGGTCCATCTGGTTTCCAGATGACCTTCCCGCTGGGACAGCCGTGCTCAGCACACAGCACACACATGCACACGGGCGCACAGCCGCTCACGAGCAGCCACCCACCTTGCTGAAGAACCAGTCCTCAGCGTCCTTGCGGTTCTTCTCCGCCATCTTCTCGTACTGATCGCGCATCTCATTCAGGATGCGGCTCAGGTCCACACCAGGGGCGGCGTCCATCTCCACGCTGACGTCCCCACCCACCTGGCCTCGCAGGGAGTTCATTTCCTGGGCAGAGAGGAGAGCAGGAGCTCACGCAGGGCCACCCTGAGGCCTGCCTTCTCCACCTCAGGTTGCTGGGTGCAGATGACAGACAGACAGACACAGACAGGCCTGCAGCTCCTCAGCCTGAAGGTGAGGCAGCTGTCACCATGTCCCAAACGTGCAGGGCTGTGGAAGTCAACAATCTCCCCCAATACATACTCCGGGTCCACCCCCAATGTATGCTGGGACAGGAAGATGGCAAATCCCTGTCATGATAGGGGCCGAGCCTGGACAACCTCACCCACTGCCCTGACCGCCTGCCATGTCCCCATCACCAGTCATACAGCCGGTGCCCAGTATCAGCGAGGCCAAGCCAGGCCTCGTAGGAAATATTAGCCTTCTGGGAAATTCAATATACGACCAGCCTCAGAGCTAAGGGGAGACACTCTAGGGCTCCTGCTATGCAGGGATGAGACTCCCCCAGCTCAGG